GGATCCAGTTGTGGAGAAGTTTAAAGCAGGGTTAGGTTATAAAAAAAATAAATCCCAGGCTTTGAACATCTCATGGAGCACTGTTCAATCCATCATCCAAAAATGGGGGAAAAAAAAAAAAAAAAAAAAAAAAAAAAGAGTATGGCTCAACTGCAAACCTAACAATACATGGTCGTCCACCTAAACTGACCTGAAAATTTCAAAGGGTATGAATACTTCAAGGCTCTGTAGATATTAAACGAAAGCTGCAGGAGCGTTGTAATCCCAGATGTGCTGCAGAGCTCATTATGAGTACATTCCTAGAATGAATGGGTCAAAAATTTACAGTAATTTTGTCAAGAATTGTGCAGGTTAAAAGTTGAATGTGAGAGTTTTGGAAATGAAAGTGCTCCCTCATAGCATATTGCAGAGGTGCCAACAGATGGTACCACTCAACTTACCTTTCACGCACTCCTTCCAATTTAAAACGCATTTGTGTTTAGGCTATGAATAACATTTTTTACAAAACTTTTTTGGTTTTAATTGTAGTTAATGAAGTCCAGACTTAAACCATTATCTATAGCAGGGTTTCCCAACTAGGGTTTGTAGGGCTTCCTTGAGCAATTAGAAATTTCTGCTCATCAGATAAGTTCCCACTGACTGATATTTTTAGCCATCTGTAGGGAGCAATTCTTCTCAGTGACCACAGGTTTAACCACTTGCCAACTGCGCTATAGCCAAACAATGGCTACAGAGCGGTTGTCGAGTTCTGGGAGGGCGTCATATGACATCCTTCCAGAATGCGCCCTCCCACATGCCCCCAGCAGCGCGCAACTGGCAACTGTATTTATTCGGTGATCTGCTGTGTCCTACGGACGCAGCTGATCATGTGATGAGGTAAAAGGCCAATCACAGCTGCCTTTTACCACGTGATCAGCTGTGTCCAATGACACAGCAAATCACTGAGTAAATAACAGTGCTTCACTGTCACAGCGTGAACTGATAACCAGCAACTTTCACAGAGCAGATCAGCACTGATCACCAGGGCATGGATGATCAGTGCTCTGATGATCAGTGCCCAGCAGTGCCAGCCACCAGTGTCTGCCACCAGTGCCCAGCAGTCAGTGCTGCCCATCAGTGCCCATTATTGCTGCATACCAATGCAGCATCATAAGTGCCTCCTCATTAATGCCCACCAGTGCCACCTAATCGGTGCAGCCTATCAGTGCAGCCTCATCAACGCACATCAGTGAAGGAGCAAAATTACCTGTTGGCAAAATTTTATAATAGAAACAAAGAAAAACTTTTTTTTTTGTTTATAGTGCAAAACATAAAAAAACACCAAGTGGCAATGAAATACCACCAAAATAAATCTCTATTTGTGTGAAAAAAAATTATAAACATTTCATATGGGTACAGTGTTGCATGACCGTGCAATTGTCATTCAAAGTTTGAGAGCACTTAAAGCTGAAAATTGGCCTGGGCACGAAGGGGGTAAAAGTGCCCGGTAGGCAAGTGGTTAAGGAGCATTCTTCCCACTGACCATCACACTTATGTATCAGGAGTTGTAGATATAGTCATTTTTAGCAGAAGTTCTCCGAGACCAGAATTTATTTCAAGGATACTCTGTGTTGAAAAAGGCTGATCTTTAGCCTTTTTCCTGGATTGTGTTTGTCTGGTCAGTCCCTGAACTGCTGCCCTTGCCTCCCTGTGTACCAGGGTCTCCTTTAGATAGCTAGCTGCTAAGGAGACACCCGTGTGTCCACACACTGGGTGGGGCTCTATGTGACCATTTAAACATACAGCACCCAGTAAGCCACTCCTGCTTCCTCCTTCCAGAAAAATGACAGACAGCTGCAGGAGCCAATTGCATCCCCACCTTCATTGTTGCCTCTACACCCACAACCCAGAAGATCAGGGAATGGCATGGATTGGATTGTCCCGGACCCAGCAGTGAGACAAGGGAGGCAGGTAAGTGTTTGAGGATGGGGGGGGGGGGTTGTAAACATACTAGGTCATTTTTTACCTTAAAAGATCAGTTCTCCTTATTGGCCAGAAGTTTCACTTTTCCAACCACCCCAGTGAGCTTTTCTCTGACCTCATCCATAGGATGTTTAATTTTTTGTCAGTTTATGTGAGATTTTGAACAGATTTTAGATTCCATCATTTCCTGTAGATGATATCTCAGCATTCACTTCTTGCAGGCCACCTCCCAGAAGCCTTCACTTCCTTGTTGCATCACAGAAGAGGGTGCGATAGGGAGTGTTCACCACTCAGACCACACCTCCTTCATTACAATATTGTCTTCCTATACAAACCGATTGTACAATATCCTTTACATCTCCCATCAGCTATGTAATACAAGGGCCGGTCTGATTTGATACTAGCTGAATAGATTGTTCAGGGGTGTCCTCCTATTCCATAGTTCTGGTAAATCTAAAGAAAGTTGTACAATCAGATTGCATAGTGTATGGCCATCTTTATACAAGTACATAGGAGGGAGTGGGTGGAGACATTCAGTTGTCAGACTCATATTCCCACATGCGGTTGTTTTGCAGCGTTTTCACTCATCACGCATAGGGCAGTCCATTCACTTGAACGGGCTGCCATACACGCAACAATCACCCCAGAAAAGCTCCAGAACTTTTCTGGAGTAGAGCACGGTGCATTACCACAGTTTTGGATGTTTCTGCCGCACTTGGGTGCCTTTAACCACTTGCCTTCCAGAGGATTTATCCCCCTTCCTGACCAGGCCATATTTTGCGTTGCGGCGCTGCGTTACTCTTTTGCGCGGTCATGCAATGCTGCACCCAAATTATATTTACGCCCTTTTTTCCCCCCCACAAATTGAGCCTTCTTTTGGTGGTATTTGAGCGTGTGGTTTTTTTTATAGTGATTAAAAAAAAAAAAAAGACAATTCTGTGAAAAAAAAAAAACAATATTTTTGACTTTTTGCTATTAAACATATCCAGTAAAAATTTTTTTACAAAATCAAATTTTGTCAAATATAGGGTAAAATGTATTCTGCTACATGTGTTTGCTCAAAAAATAAAAATTTGCAAAACAGTAAACAGTAATGGCGGCAATCAGCGACTTATAGCGGGACTGTGGCAGGCATTCTGACACTGGGGGGGCACAGACTTGGTGTCAATGACATGATCAGTGCTAATAAAAAGCAACGACACTGTACTAATGGCACTGTGCAGGAAGGGGTTAACATGTGGGGCGATCAAAAGGTTAACTGCGTGCTTTTTACATGTGGTGCTGTGTTAGTGCGTCACTGTAAGCACACTTCTTTGTATGGCTGTGCTATGTAGAGCCATGCAAAGCAGTGTGCAAGAGCTGATATGGAGAGAACTGTATTGTTTACTAACAGTTCCCCCACGTCAGATGCTCGGTAATCACCGGGCACCGATGAGTAATCACCAGTCAGGACAAGCTGATTGACAGCCGAGGCCGTGAATGGCAGCAAGGGTAGGACAAGTGCACACCCCCTACACGAAACTACAAACAACCACTAATTTTGTGGGCCCGTGCCGCCCTGTAGCGCTACTTCTGCTATTTGGCAGACGGGAAGTGGTTAACATGCAATGACAACACAAACACAACACACATTTGCAGCGTGTTTCTGAAACGCATGGCAAAGCGCACATTTTCCGTGCAGTCTGCCATGTGTTCAGAAACACACAGATTTGAATGGAGCCTCATTGTTCTTGTGTAAAAGACTAATTTCACTTTCAGGCCCCATTCACACCTAGAGTAATGGCTCGTTTTTCCAGTGACACATGTAGGGCAGCCCGTTTTGCTGCATTTGTCTTCCATTTTTTTCATGTGACAAAACATGTGCATGTTTCTGTGTTTGGTGTCCCATTAACAATTAATGACACAAAGTGCAACTAGTTAATTTTAAGTGTAAAAAAGGTGCCATACACTATACAATCTGATCGTACAACCTCTACACAATCTCCATTAGATCTATCAAAACTATAGAATAGGAGGACACACCATCTATCAAATCACTATATCCAATTAAACAGGTCCTTGCACTACTTCAGGGATGTCCCGTGGGCTGCATGTAGTCCCTGGGAATATAGCATGTAGCCTGAGCCCATCTGTAGCAGGGGCAGACTGACAACTCATGGGGCCCCCGGGCAATAGGGGATCATGAGGCCCCTGTGTCCTTGCCCAAACTCAAAAAAGGCTATGAAAAAGGTACCAGGCAGGGGCGGACTGACAACTCATGGGGCCCCCAGGCAATAGGGGATCATGGGACCCCTGTGTCCTTGCCCAAACTCAAAAAAGGCTATGAAAAAGGTACCAGGCAGGGGCGGACTGACAACTCATGGGGCCCCCAGGCAATAGGGGATCATGGGACCCCTGTGTCCTTGCCCAAACTCAAAAAAGCCTTTGAAAAAGGTACCAGGGGCATCCTAAGGGGCCCCCTACTGACCCCGGGCCCTCGGGCAGTGTCCGAGTTTCCAAATGGTCAGTCCGCCCCTGGTCTGTAGAGATACTGGGGTATGCAAGCAAATGCACGTGGGGAGAGATCCCAGGGACGCTATGGAAAAAAAAAAAAAAAAAAAGATGGGTGAAGGGTGTGTACAAATGAGGTCAGTGCAGGATTTGTGTGCTAATGAGATCAGCTGGTAATCTGCTTCCTGGTGATACTGGCTCCCCTGCCCTCTGTCTAGATTCCAGGAAGTGAAAACGCTTTCTAAGAAATATAGCCACAGCTAAAGCGAGCCCTTGTTCGCAAAATCAAAAAGAGCTTGTATAATTTTGCAACTGAGGTATAATAATGGTATATTGGTGCATAGGGGAGCTGGATTTGAAATTAAAAAAAAAAAAAAAAAGAACTTAGCCTTTAACCACCTCCCGCCCGCCATATAGTACAATGACAAGCGCAAGGCGGTTCTTTCGTTCTGGGAGGACATCATATGACGTTGTCCCATTCTAACCGCGCATGCGCGGCTCCGGGAGCACGCAGCGATCGGTGGTGCGATATGTCCTTTGGCCCGGTCATGTGATCAGCTGTGTCCAATCACAGCTAATCTCATGTAAATAGGGAAATGCCAGTTATCGGCATTTCCCTCCTCACGAGCTATCACGCTGACAGCTCAAGAGGAGAGGAGAGCCGGTAATCGGCATCCCTCAGAAGGGACATTGTGCCCTGATGATTTGTGTAGCCCCAGCAGTGCCACCTGTGAGTGTCCATCAGTGCCAGCTGTCAGTGCTCATCCATGCCACCTGCCAGCGCCACATCAATGCCACATATCAGTGCCTACCAGTGCACATCAATGCCACATATCAGTGCCCATCTGAGCTGCCTTTCAGTGTCAGCCATCAGTGCCAGTCAGTGCCACCTAACAGTGCCTGTCAGTGCCGCCTGTCAGTGCCATATATGTGTGCTGCCTTTCAGTGCCCATCAGTGATGCCTGTCAATGCCCATCAGTGCCACCTACCAGTGCCTCCTCATCAGTGCCACCTTTCAGTGTCCATCAGTGCAGCCTATCAGTGCCCATCACTGCAGCCTCATTAGCGTACATCAGTGAAGGAGAAAAATCACTTATTTACAAAAGTTTATAACAAAAACTAAGAAAAATGTTTTTTTTCTCACAATTTTCAGTGGTTTTTGGTTTAAGAAAAAATAAAAAAAAACCCAGAGGTGATTAAATACCAACAAAATAAAGCTCTATCTCTCTCACAAAAATGATACAAATTTCATATGGGTACAGTGTTGCATGACCGTGCAATTGTCAAAATGTGACAGCGCTGAAAGCTGGAAATTGGCCTGGGCAGGAAGGGGGTATAAGTGCCCTGTAGGCAAGTGGTTAATGATGTGAATGCATTAAGGCAAAATGCTTGGCCTTTTAGTATTACTTTAAAACAATTTAAAAATGAGTAAAATTGCTTTAAAAACTAGCCCTCACTGACCTCTTGAGCTTCAAGTACTGTGAAGTAGTTCAATCTAAAATATCTTAAACACTGAGTGTGGGTTTCAGTCTGTTTCTAACAGCTTACAAGCACTTGCGGTTTGTTTAATTTAGAAGGCTGTCAATGTCTTGCTCTCCATATAAAATGAGCCCTGGTTAACACCAGTGCGACTTCAGGTGCGACGTGATTTACAAATCGCACCTGAAGTCACATCTAAACATATTTATATGGCACGGTCTTAATCCGTGCAATTTGAAGTAGCGCAATTTCAAAAATAGTTACTGCACTACTTTTTTCAGATTTTGTTTCAACTTACATTGATTTCTGTTAAATGAAGTCGCAAGCCGCAGTGAAATCGTAGGCACATATCTCACTGATCTGCGGCTTTGAGATTGCACTACTTCAAGTGAAGTAGCTTCATATCAAAGTCGCATTCAGTTTGAACCAGGGCTAAAAGAAGGAATTGTGATTTCAGTACCTCTGTTGCAAACTTTGAAGATTAATTTATTCACAATGTGTACAGCTACAGAGGTCTGTGAGGGCTTATTTTAAAATGCTCTTCTGTGCAAAACCAACCACTGAAGAGAAATAATGGGAGATTCTAGCCTAAGCTGGTTTTCTATTCTGTTGGGAAAAGCAGAATCCTAAAAACAAATTTCTCTTTTAAAAATGATATCAATACAAAATGACAGCTTTGCAAAAAGACAGACTAAATGATGTTTACTGCAGTCCTTGCAGTCAAAAGTGCAAATGATTAGAAATAACCAATTACTCTTTAATGCCAGGGAGTTGCATACAACTACAAAATGTGGTCCCATTATTCACTTATGATCTTTGTATATTCTTTATACTTTCAGAGAGGATTTGTTGAATCTTCCAGAAATGGCCCCGTCTATATCCAACCACTATCAGGCACCTGAATCAGCTGGCGGGATCCTAAACCCAAACAGCTGCCCTCAGTTTGTGTGTAGGCTGTCCATAGGGGAGGAGGTGGAATGTGCAGATAACTTCCAGAGAATACAACATCAATAAGACTAGATTCTCAAACCTGTCCAGAAAAGCTTGGCCAGTGATGTTTGTGGGTCCTGAACAAAAATAGGAATGTTGAAAATGGATGGATGAGGGGAGTGTCATCGCAGGTTCATGGGTTTTTTAAAGCACAACTCCAGACAAATTTTTCTTTGTTCCCACAAGAAAAAAAAAGGAAGAAGCAGCTTAGGCTGCAATATTTTTATTTATTACAGGTACTTATATAGTGCTGTTGATTTTTTTTTCCCCTTTTTTGGTTGAACTAGATGGACTTATGTCTTTTTTTTCAGCCAGAGTAATCACTGTTCAACAAATTTTTATTTTTTGCCAGTTTTGGAAACAAAAGGATCCATTTCTTAATGAATTTCACATTCTGAGTTCAAATATAACAATGAAATTTGTCAATTGGCTCTAGTTTTTCTGTAAACGGAAAGTTTTCTACTATAGGCGTAATGACTACATAATGCACAATAATTATATAGATAGATGTCTTTCCACAAATATAAAGCAAGTGATATTGACTACATAACAAAGCCTAAATGGCAGAATATATTGCATAGGATTACCAAGAAAAATTTTAGCCATAAGCTAAGTTGAATCATTTTAATACTTAGGATTCTCACTAGTTTTGTCTTCAGTTTGTGTCGGTTTTGCTTCTCTTGGCTTTTCTCTTGTATTCGAGGAAAGGGCTATCTCTTACAACTGTCCAGCAATAGTCAGCAAGCATTGATGGGCTCCATTTACCTTGATATCTTCTTTCCATAGCTGCAATGTCTTGATGGAAGCGCTCTCCGTGTTCATCACTCACTGCTCCACAGTTTGGTGGGAAAAAAATCCAGATGCGAATGTAGAAAATGAATTTTTAGAGACATGTTGCAACCCAGATTTCTGTAAGTCTGGATGAGTTTTTCTACCACTTTCTTGTAGTCTGGTGTTTTATTGTTTCCAAGAAAATTTGATGTCACTGATACAAATGCTGTCCAGGCAGCCTTTTCCTTTCCACGCAACAGAGAAAGAAACTCATCATCATGAATAAGTTTACGAATCTGTGGCCCAACAAAGACTCCTTCATTTATTTTTGCAGCACTAAGTGCTGGAAATTTGCTAATCGGGTACTTGAAACCTGCTTTATTCTTGTCCATTGCCTTAACAAAGTTTTTCATTAATCCCAACTTGATGTGTAATGGAGGTAATAAGATCTTATTGCTGTCTACAAGTGCTGGATAGTTAACATTTTTTTCTCCAGGCTGCAATGACTGGCGTAATGGCCAGTCTCTTTTGGCATAGTGCATTTCTCTCGCACGACTGTCCCACTCACAGAGGAAGCAGCAGTACTTAGTATATCCACCTTGAAGTCCAAGTAGGATAGCAATCACCTTCAGGTCACCACAAATCGACCATTGATGTTCATCATAGTTGATGCACCTTAAAAGCTCTTTCAAGTTTTCATACGTTTCTTTCATTGAAACTGCGTAAGCAACTGGAACTGACGGCAGCTGATTGCCATTATGGAGCAAAACAGCTTTAAGACTCGCCTTTGAAGCATCAATGAACAGCCTCCACTCATCGGGATCATAGCATACGCCGATGGCTGAGATTAAACCATGAACATTGTTACATACAGCAATATCACCTTCCTGGACGAAGAATGGGATCAGATCTTTCTGACGATGACGGTAGAAAGACGTACGAACATCACTTGCTAGGAGATTCCACTGTTGTAGTCTTGACCCCAAAAGCTCTGCCTTGTTCTTCGGAAGATCCAGGTCTCTGATAAGATCGCTCAATTACACTTGTGTAATGAGGTGTGGTTCAGCGGGTGTGGATGGAAGAAAGTCTGGGTCATGTGAGGTTGACGGTTGATGACTACACGCTTCAGGTTCTTCCTCACTTGACTCAACCACGAAGGATTCTGGTGCTTTAGGAATTGGTAGCCCCTCTCCATGAGGAACTGGACGTATTGCCGATGGAATATTTGGATAGTGCACAGATAACTTTTTCTTCTTATTTAGCCCTTTTGTTGGAGGCACCATACAAAAGTAACAATTACTAACATGATCTGTTGGCTCTCTCCAAATCATTGGCACAGTGAAAGGCATAGATGCCTTTTTTCCATTCAACCATTGCTCCAGTGCCGTCCCACAAGAATTGCAGCATATATGTGGTGCCCAGCTCTTGTCCTGGTCTCCTATCTTGCAGCCAAAATACAAGTTGTAGGCTTTCTTAATCATTCCTGTTATCCTCCTTTTTTGTGAGATAAAAGTTATTTCACCGCAGATATAGCAGAAATTATCTGCTTTATTCACACAAGTTCGAGGCATTACTGAGTAGCCTATATAAGCATAAAACGAAATGTAAAGACGCTGTCGAACTACAATCAGCTACAGATACTGCAGCTTTTATGCAGTGAAGTGATGCAATTAAAGGCTAATATTGCATCATCTCAGTATACATGCAATTTTCTATTGGTCACCAGTATCAATTGCGCAATATGCAGCTGAAGTTGCATCATAATTTTGAATGGCTTACGTCATTAGATGGGTGAATATATCATGGAAACTAGAGCCAATCAACATTTTTTAGGGTCATTTTCGTTTTCAGCACCCCAAAATTATGTAAGATTAGCTAATTTTATGCCCAAAACTTTTTACCTGTTGAACAGTGTTACACTTCTCAAAAAATTAAAGGAACACTTCGAAAAACACATCAGATCTCAATGGAGAAAAATATCATGCTGGATATCTAAACCTATTGTAAGTCAAGGCACCCTTTAAAATTCTGAATAATATCAAGGCACCCCATTCTAAAATATAAAAAACTATTCTACACACATCCAGGATACCCAACATTAGAGGTGATCTAGATTTCCAAAGCAAATATATACCTTTGCACACTGGTACTGACTAGTATTCCAGTGTGTCTCTCTCTTTCTTTCCCTCACTCTGCTAATGTCACATGTCACTCCAGTGCTGATGGAGAGGGGCAGGTGAGGGGCAAACAAGGATGATGTCATGCACCCCACGTCCTCCTTATCAACTGATGTCATTGGTTGTTAGGATGCAGGCCACTAGAAGGTGATAAAAGTGCACAATGAAAACCTGTGTCTTTGTGTACTAAAAGGCAGGATTGATCCACCTGCCAGCTTGTATACAATTTTTGGGCATTTTGCCAAGGCACACCTGAAGACGCCTGAAGGCACACCTGAAGAAGCCTGAAGGCACACCTGAAGACGCCTGAAGGCACACCTGAAGAAGCCTGAAGGCACACCTGAAGACGCCTGAAGGCACACCTGAAGACGCCTGAAGGCACACCTGAAGACGCCTGAAGGCACACCTGAAGACGCCTGAAGGCACACCTGAAGAAGCCTGAAGGCACACCTGAAGAAGCCTGAAGGCACACCTGAAGAAGCCTGAAGGCACACCACAGTGCCTGGGCACCCTGGTTGAGAAAGGCTGATCTATAATGATATGGACTGGGTAATGTGTTAGGAAC